AAGGGTAATACATAAAATATAAGGGTTTGATAAAACTGAGGAAATTCTGCTTGTGGTGATAATGTGTTTTTAACTGCATGTAATGGAAAATACAATATTGTAGGACCAGAAGCAATGGGAACAAGCTGGAACACAGGAGGTTTGTAGAACATCACAAAATGCTTTTTCACTGTGAGGGTGACAGAGCACTGGCACAGGTTGCCCTTAAATTTTGTGGTCTCCATCCTTGGCGACATTAAAAAAAAGTCCAGACATAGCCCGGGGCAACTGGCTTTAAGTGATCCTGCTTGAGCAGGGGTTTGGACCAGATGATCTCCAATGGTCCCTTCTGACCTCAGTCCTTCTGTGATTCTATGAGTTAACAGCAACAGGTATTGCAGAAATGTCTCCAGCAGATAAACTGATATCAGCCTGAATTTAGCTGTCAGATGCATATAGAGAGACATAGCAATACCTAGATATATTCCAGTATCTCCATTCTTCCTGTGAGAGAATTTTTGTCCCAAAGGGGTATAACCTTGTATCCTTGACATTCTTAAGTCTAGAACATTTTTCATATGTTTTTACATGCTCAGTAGATTTAATGTATTAAATGTATTTACCAAGGTGAAAAGAACTTGCCACTTTTATTCCCCCGATCTAAGAAAAAATATTGATGCCCAGCTACATATAAAAAGATCTGTTGAGATTTCTTTTTACAGGATGGGTCTTGTAATTTTATACCTCATTTTTTTTTAATGCAAGGTATTAAAATAAATAATTATAAGAGGTTGCAGAAAGGACTTCACATTTGAAGTGTTATCATGTGAGAAATTTCTTAATAAGCAGTCAAGTGTCTTCAGAATACAGCTGAGTGAGTCAAGAAACTCCCAATTTTTATTTGTGCATTTTTTTACAAACTTAGCAAAACCCAAAAAAAGTGGTAAAGAAAACTAGCAGAGACCCCAATGAAAGCAGGTACCTAATAGGAAGCAGAGAATATCCACTGCTTCCAAAGGCACGTCTCAAGCCCTGTTCGCTCAGCATATTACTAAGAAGCTATAAAACACAAGTTCATACTAGGAATACTTAGAAATAAGTCTACTTTTAGAAAAAATATATCTCAGAGTGGCAATGAAAGAAAGCAAAACCCAACCCAAAGGACATCAGTTTTATGCATTGCTCTTTCTGCCTGTACGAAGTTCAGGAACAGAGAAATTACTCTGGTTATGATATGATAGGAGAAAATGCTTTGGGAAGCAACAACTCCCCTCAAACAGAACCACACTCAGCCCGAAGCAGCAGCTGAATCCTGTAGAAAGAGGCAGACACGTGCATGGAGACTGCTGACAACCTGTGCACTTGGAATACCAACAGCCAGTGGCCATCGACCCCACCAGAAGGTAGACATGCAGTGACTGTCACAGACCACTGAACAAAGCAGTAGTCACCCTTTAAACATATCCTGGAAGTGGTGTGGAAAACTGCACTCTGTTAGAATCCCCCCGCACACGTATTTGGACATCCTCAAATATATTATTGCAGAAGATCCATTCATATTACCCATAGATGCATCAATTAAGTATATGGGGAAAAAAAAATAGAGATCTGTGAGGATATGCACGAGTGTTTCCATGAAAGGAACGGGTTTGCTTCCTTCAGATTTCAATACCAGTGTCCCCCCTGCGTAACAATATCTTGGTGCAGAAGAGCAAGATGAATGAAGTTCTGTATTCACCTGAAACAGCGTCTTCCAAAATCAGCTCTGCTTTGTATATAAGCTGTCAATCTCCTCTTCAGAACCCAAATATACATCAAAGTCAAGAGACACAGGCGTCATCTACACCAGATTAAATTTGTGCATTGAAAATATCCTTTCTTATACCTAATCCTGTTTTATCTGTAAACTTTCATTGGGATCTGTTACTGTATTTGTCACCAACATGCTCAACTTTTGATTCATTATAGATTGTCTTGGCTCTAATAATAATTGCAGAGATGAAGTATTTTTTTAGCCATTGTAAAAAACAAATTTAATTTGCAGACAGGTAGTCTATGGCAAAGCTTGGTCCAAACTGTTTTATCTTCACATAGGAAAATAATATGAAAATATTAATGTCACACTTTTTTCTTTTTTGATAGTATTTGGCTTTAGAAGGAATTCCTGCCAGTGAAGCCATGCCAAAAATGTCTTTAAGATTCATTATGTGCATGTGTTGATTTAATGTGTATGTATCAATGAGAAACTATATTCTCTGAAATAAAGCAAACTTTCAGCCTCTCTCAGCTGTTAATCCTTAATGCTAGGCACTGCTGCTTTGAGTTTGAAGGTTTTAAAAGCAGTCTAGGGAAATTTCGACACATTATCACCTGCTAATTCTAGTGGCAGATGTTTACCTAAATCCCCTATACAATTTTTTATTTAAAAAACCCCAGTCAGACTTCTTTTTTTCTGCTCACTTTTCCTTCATAATGGCATTGGTTAAGCACTGCCTGTGTTAGAAGTCTTACATCTTGGTCACTGAGGATTACACAGCTTTATATCAAAGGAACTAAAAGGCAGAAACAGCTAGAAAATAATTATTCAAGTGCATGAAGTGCTCTGTATTTTTTTCCAGAAGACACCATATGTTTGGAAGTGTGTGAGCTTGCCTGGTGTGCTGTCCACCTCTTAATTCTGGGATTCTTCTGACATTAAAATAATGCTAATTGAAAAAAAACCCCAACAACCAACCCACAACTGCTATTGCTTTTAATATTAATAGCAATTTAATTTTAATGCAGTTTGCTCTTTTTTACTCTTTCTGTTCATCATGAAGTTCTTCTTTAAAGATTTCAAGTAAAAAAAGAAAAGAAAATCTCTTCCCATTCTTTATACATTTTCTTGAAGAACTAAAAACCTGAAAATCTCCCCAAGGAATAACCTCTTCTTTTAAGAGTTTTCTATCTTTTACTTCAGTCATTTTATATCTAGAAGACTGCAGCAGTGGAAAAGAGAGGTCAAAAGGTGGAAACATCAATGCTTAAGTAATTCTCAAAGAGGATTACTCCCCTTACAAAAAAGGCTAGTATGACATGTGAAATTAAGGATATTCATTCTGTGTCTGCACATCACTTGTAACGGAATTGGTAAATCCTTATAAAAATAGAGCAACACAGGAACAACTGAGCTCTTCCCATGGGATCAGCACAGATAGCATTAAACTTTAAATCAGTTTTTCTGACCTGGCATTTGCCAAGGAGCTCTGTGGAACCTTCCTTCCTCTCCCTGAACACTTCTGTCAATTAAAGGATGACAGGTATATAGATTTCTTAGAAATGGGAGAAGGGGAACCACTTGGATTTTAACACTCCCATTAGTCCTGGCAAACATGCATGCATTTTTTTTTCTCATTTTTGCCAGGGCTACACCCATTCCCAGATTGATAAAACACATGTATCATGTTTCTGTGCCAGGATTACAGAATCTGATGTGGTCTACAATGTGAGAATAATAAAAATATAATGATTTTCAGGCACAGTGTATACATAGCACTTTGTAGGACAAAAACCACTGGACAGATGCTTTGTTACTAATTTCATATGTCACTGAATGCAATAGTCAAAGGCACTTTCAGCAGTTTGGTGAAATCCAGTGCTCAACAATGGATACATCAATGGTTATACCAAAAACCCCACAAAAACCCAGAAACCCAAACAAACCTGAGGGGAAACAAACAAACAAAAACAAACAAAAGATAAGGTCAAAAAGCCAAAAGTTTTTTTGGGTCCATCCACAGGATACAGTAATGAGCTGTGTTCAGGAGTCTGAAATATTGCAGCCTGTTACTTCTGCAGAGGCAACTACAGCCTAAGCAGATCTTGCCTAATGATGTTTAAAATGGAAAAAAAAAAAAAAAAAAAAAAAAAAACATGCCTCTGAAGATCTTCTGAATATTTCAACATAAATTTCAATAAAACTTGATGAAAAAAATCCCCACAACAATTTACTAGAGTCGGATTTATAGTTTCAAAATGAATGCCTAATTAAAGTGATACTTACATGTCACATACAAATGCCCAATTGCTTAAAACCAAACAGGATACATTCTGACACCTATCTTTGATAACTGCATTTTCCTATGAACACAAGAGTGTTTTCACAGTAACTGTGAAAAATCCCCAGGGAGAGTTAACCTCAAGTCAGTGCATTATCTGTAAACAATAGGATTAGATAGCTGGTATTTTCACCCAATCAAACCAATCTACCATCAGGAAAGGGATGAAGGCATTGCCCTAAAAAGTAATCCAGCCTCAACCGTTATCTCTAATTTGTTCTAAATTTAGAAAACTTTTCAAAGTGTAATAAATTATTTTTTTATTTCTTAGTTCACTGAAAACAGTATGAGAGAGAAAAATGGATCTTTTGATGATAACTGAAAAGTACGATGAGCACTATACATATTTGCTTATTACACACATTTAATCATTTTGATGCATTTTTATCACATTATACTTTTAAAAAAAGTAGATGGTTAGATTTCTTGGGTTGGTGTCACAATTCATATCTTGCTATGCTCTTGCCTGATTTCTCTTAAAGAGACAGAATGTCAACAGTTTCTGCAGTGACAAAACAATATGGATTCATTTGAGGGGGTTGGAACCAACCCAACCCATTCTTTTATTCTATGATTGACACCAGTAAGATTTTGGCCTAATTTCTCATGGCTCTCTGACCATGGATTCATAAAGATTCTGCTTCTCCTCATTTGGATATGGGTTTTCAGTGGAAATTTTTCAAACTTAACTCGACCAATGTGATTTTCACTGCTGTATGTAGACTTTAGCTACGATACGACTATCTGGATTCATTCAGGGGACCTGAAATGCTATCTCAAATTTGACTGCAGATAGTTCTGTGAGAACAGAGGGTTATCCAGCTACCAGGAGCATTCAGATGCATTTATATCACAATTTGCTGCTATCTGCAGTGTTTTTTTTCTGAACTGAAAAAAAAATACATATCAGGTTAATATTCTTACCTTCCAACTCCCAGCGGCCAAGTTCTGCAGTGCCCCTGCTGCCCCCTCCAGTGTGTCTGGATTTGAGCACTCAGAAAGAAGTGTGAGGTAGGGTTTGACTATTGAAGGGTGCCACAGCATCTGGATTCCTTTGGGCGGTTCTGCACAGTCTGGGAGAGGTCCTACGCCATCCCACTGTTGGAAAGCACAAATCAGGTGGTCAGCAAGGAACCAGGAGATACATGTGAAATGCCTCAGCTGAAGGTATAATATCTACATGCACGTGTGTGAGGGCATCAGCCTGTTAGCAGCTGTTCTTGATTTTAACATATTGTGTGATTTTTCGTAGAGAAATCAAATTTCCTACTCAGCACTGCTCATGGAGGAGCTATAGCATTGGCAAAAATCACAGTGCTTTAGCTAGCTGACATAACAAAAACACTTATTGCTGTGTTGGGTTTTTTTGGGTGAGCATAGTGAACATGAACATATCTTAAGAGGCCAAATCTAAAACTTGCACATGAAGATATTCTCCTTTTTTACCTCCTGCACAGTTCTCCACATTCTCTTTCTCCTCATGAGAGGGGGAAAAAACCCAGCATGAAATGCTTATGTGGAAAACTAAATTATTCAAGGCCCTGAGCCCTCCATCCTCTGAAAGGCACCAGGTGTGACAAGTCTCACCCAACTGCTCAGCTTCTGGCTTCTCACCATGCAAGTGTCAGAGGCTTTCAGCCATCAAGCCAGCCAGACGTATGGTCTGAGACTCCCATGTAGTTGGTAGAACCATCTCTCATGAAAAAGACCCTTCCTCTCATCACAGAGTTCTACCATTAAAACAACCTTAGTTTCCTAGGCTGATATCCAAAATAGGTAATATTAAACCCTGGACAACTGGCAGGTTATTGCTCAAAAGTCCTACCAGAAAGAGAAACTTAATTGCAGGAGAACAGTGATCCACCTCTCCAGCGGAATGCACAATACTCACCCCTGAGCGTGAAGAAGGTAATTCCAGGACCTTTTTCTTTTTTTTTTAAAAAAAAAAGATGTGGAATACACTTCTAATTATATTTTAAAGGTGATTTTTATCTATATTTGTAATATATATTTTACTTGCTTTGAACAGATGAAGAGATCTATAAAATTCATAGCCTTAATACCAGTAGTAAAAAAAAGCCCTATCTTTTTAATACAATCTCTTTTCTAACCCCTCTGATTTACAGATTGGATTATATGATCCAAAGTAAACCTTTTCATGCCATGCATTAGAGCTTAATGTGATTATGGAGATAAAAAAAATGTGTATTGTAACACTAAACATACAAAGATATCACAGCCCAAAATAACTCGTTTAGATTTGAAACAGTCAATTTTCCTAGCTGATTTAATTAGTTATGAGTCAAACAACACAGTAATACTTGCACAATACCTGCATCCAGGAAAAGACCTGGATTCTCTTGTTTTCAGGAAGTATCAGTCATAATTTAATTTAAGCTAACTTTAAAAATCTTCATATAACTTAAGGGACAAGCAATCAAGTAATCTAATAACAACTAACATAGCTTAATTTTAGCAAAGTTTTGTTAGATTCCTACCATCGAGAATCTGGAACACTATTTTTCCCAAATTAAACCAGAAAAAAACCATAAAAATGGAAAGCTAGCAGGACCATTTAATACAAATGAGCCGTTACTCCAAACCAGAAAGCTGCTCAGATATGAAACTTTCTGCACAGGACAAAAGGTATCATAGTTTAAAAGAACAAGCACAACAATACTCAGTGGTGGTTAAGCAAGTATAGGAAAATTGCCTTCTGGAAAAACAGTCCCTTCCAATGACACCGTTACAGGGCTGTGCCTTTGAATTTTCTTATTACATTTCTGCCTTTCAACCAATAGGTTGATTTCACTGTATATGACTCAGTTCTCCTTTTTTTCTCCATATAAATCACCATGCTTACCAGAAACGAATTCTTGTCAGCCCATAAAAAAACATATAAAATCCCCCACTTCTTATTTTAACTCTCAGAATTGAGTAATTTCTGGTGTTGGAATTTTTTGGAAAACAAATGAGAAACATGTCTTAAAGCTCCAGTCTGGCATCTCACCAGATTTGGGCCTTATACCTTAGTAAGCCCACTAATGAATGACTTGTGATGTCTGAGGGCACAAATTCAGGTCTTCATCCATTTCATTCCAAATTGCTCAGATTATGGACATATCATGCCACTGCACAGTTTTTGCACAAAGTACTTCTTATATTATTTCATGGACAAAATACATGTAATGTATCAAATGTATCAGATCGACCCAGTACATTTTTTCTACACATGTGAGGATGTAACTTTTTTTAAACTCATGCATTTACAGTCCCAAAGAATGGTGAAAATGACTGAAAACCAACTGATACAGAGCTGTGTATATGTTCATGCTGTACTGGTACTTATACAGCATTAGAAATTATGCTTGCAGATAATTTAATATTTAATGTGGTTTTGCCATTCTGCCACCCAGTACATTTTTTCTACACATGTGAGGATGTAACTTTTTTTAAACTCATGCATTTACAGTCCCAAAGAATGGTGAAAATGACTGAAAACCAACTGATACAGAGCTGTGTATATGTTCATGCTGTACTGGTACTTATACAGCATTAGAAATTATGCTTGCAGATAATTTAATATTTAATGTGGTTTTGCCATTCTGCCCAATAATGAGAAAACATTAAAAAGAAAAGAAAGAAGTGAGAGATTTGGGCCTTATACCTTAGTAAGCCCACTAATGAATGACTTGTGATGTCTGAGGGCACAAATTCAGGTCTTCATCCATTTCATTCCAAATTGCTCAGATTATGGACATATCATGCCACTGCACAGTTTTTGCACAAAGTACTTCTTATATTATTTCATGGACAAAATACATGTAATGTATCAAATGTATCAGATCGACCCAGTACATTTTTTCTACACATGTGAGGATGTAACTTTTTTTAAACTCATGCATTTACAGTCCCAAAGAATGGTGAAAATGACTGAAAACCAACTGATACAGAGCTGTGTATATGTTCATGCTGTACTGGTACTTATACAGCATTAGAAATTATGCTTGCAGATAATTTAATATTTAATGTGGTTTTGCCATTCTGCCCAATAATGAGAAAACATTAAAAAGAAAAGAAGTGAGACAAATTGCTGCATTCCCTTGCCTTTCTTGCAATTCTCTTATAGCACATGATTGTATTAATTCATCACACAGTGTGGGGGAAGATATTTTCTCAAGACACCATGATGCCTCAGGGCCCTTGTAAGGGCGATGGAAGCCTTTGGTACTTCACCTGCATGTGCAGTGAAGGTGTAGTAAATTCAGTGACAGTGGACAATGTCCTACACTGTTCTTCAGATGTTGCTGTAGCCACTTTCTGGCAGGTAGAGGGCACAAACAACCATGACCTGTCAGGCTCTCCCTTGTCCCAGTGTTTCAGCCCCTCTCAGCTCCTGCATGTGTGATCTCACCTAGCCCTTCACTAAAGAGCTTAATGACTTCTGGCATCTTCTGTGTAGCTGAGACCAGTGCCTGCAGCCCTACAGCCCAACTGTTCCAGGGGGTGCAGGACGGATGCGGGTCAGAAAAGAAGCTGTTGCAAAGGAGGCTTTCCTCATCTTCACCCCTTTTATAAATTTTATTTCTTAAGTATAAACACCAATTGCCTGAGTGATAAAAAGATTTTTCCCCAAGATGATAGTACAATACATTTTCACAAATGGTGGCTACGGCACAACAGAAGTTGTTTTGTAGTTCACATTGCTCAATATTAATGAACCAAGGAAGTGTGCTAAATGACTACCCAGTTAATTACTGGCACAGTTACTTTATTGTGGTAAATGGTCAGGAAAGAAGAATAGGGTCTATCTGAAATAGGCTGTGGATGTAGTAGGAGCCTCTGAAAAAGAGGATGACTGTATGCATTTACTCTTCCTAGCTTATGCTAAATTGGAATAAAAAAGTCATAAACAAATATTCCTTCCAGGCTTCCTTCCTTCAGCTGAAATTACCCACATATATTATGGTTGAAGTTGACAAACTGTTTGCTATGTGGGTGAGATACAAATCTCTCATTTCCTGAGAACTGGTGCAAAGAAAAGAGGAAAGTCAAGAATAAAAAAAGAAGCTGAACATAAAGATCTTTAAGAACAACAGACTTTGGAGATTAAGAATACTCTAATAGTTTCCAAAGTTTCCATATTACTAAGAAACTGTGAGAGTAGAAAAAGATCACTCATCTAAATGCTCTCCCGTGCCACAGAACAGATCATCTATCAGCTTTTTTTCTCATTTTAATGAAAACAAATCCATTTTTATAGCATAACTGTACTGGATACCATAAAAAGCTTCAACTCAGTAAGAACAGTGCATTCTCTGTGTTTTTTTTTTTCTCTAACAGCCTCAAGTTGGTGGGGCTTGTTATTAAGGTGTGTCACATTACAACAGGTGTTGGTTTTTTTTCTGTGATAACAAAACAAATTTCAAAGACTTTTAAACAAACAGCCACCCCCCAACCAGAGGACAATGGATCCTCATCCTGCATATCCAGTAGCTGTGGAAGTCTATGCCCTGCCCCTAGATATGTCAATCCAACAATTTCTTTTGGAAACCACTGTCCAATAGATGCATTGGTCAATGCTGTCAAGAGCAGATATTTAATGTTAAGCAACAAAAACTCATAAAAATCATAGAGCTTGCTTTCAGGAGTGATGGGATTCCATGCAGCTGATACAAAGGAGACAGGAGTGCAAATGTGAGCACTGTGTGCAGTTTTGGCTGCCACAGTATAAGGACATTGAGGTGCTGGAGAGGGTGCAGAGAAGGGCAGTGAGGCTGGTTAGGGGTCTTGAGAACTGGCCCTATGAGAAGAAGCTGAGTGATCTGAGGCTGTTCAGCCTGAAGGAGGCTGAGGGGAGACCTCATTGCTCTCTACAAACTACCTGAGAGGAGGTTGTGGTGAGGGTGGTCTTGGCCTCTTCTCCCTAGTGACAGGACAAGAGTGAGAGGGGAGGTTCAGATTTGATATTAGGAAAAAATTATTCACAGAAAGAGTGGTGAGGCATTGGAACAGGCTGCCCAGGGAGGTGGTAGAGGCAACGTCCCTGGAGGGGTTCAAAAAAGGGGCAGACATGGTGTTTTGGGAGATGGTCTAATGGTTAGGGGCTGTAGGGTGGATAGTTGCACTTGAGGATCTTGAAGGTCTTTTCCAACCTTCATGATGATTCTATTCTATGATGTAGTATTTCAATTTAGTCAAAGCTCAGTTTAGACATCCAGGCCTAAAGAAAGGTGGTGAATATAAATGAAGGTGCTGTTGTCCAGCAACATGTAGCCCCAACAAAACTGGGCAATTTCTGGAATGCAGTTTGTTGCATAAATAATTATAATGTCCCCAGTTTGATGCAACAATGTTTACAATTTTGGGAAAGGTGTTTGGAATGCTTTCAAAATATTCCAATTCTTTGAATTCTGAAAGAATTCATCTGAAAGATGAATAAATCTAAATTATACTCCTGATTACACATTACATTCTTAGAAGAATTATCAATGCCTTTATTCAATGGGTTTTTTTTATAACATTATACTTTGCAGAGAAAAATAATTTCATTTGAATGATACATTTTGTCTTTGCTTAAAATCAGATCACTCCCAAATAAAACAGGATGGAATTCAATCTAGGGAAAACAATCCTTGGCATCTCATTACATCTTCTCCTCATCCCTCTCCTCTCCACCGGAAGCTGAAGCTAATGGGCTTTGCACTATATTCCACAAGTTAACAAATACAAGTTGTATTAAATAACTCTATAGTTTTGACTTTGAAAACAACTTGGTCATACATGATATGAAGAGATTCCCAGTGTATATACGTTTCTGTGTAGGCAAGCAAGAATGTAGAAATGGGCGCTAAACAGCTCTGTAAGGAGTTGCTCAATATAGTTGATATCTTGCTAAGCAACACTTAAAAAAAACAACATTTAAAAGCCACTGCAATTTCTCTGTTACTGTCCTTATTAATTTGGTATGGGTTGGTAGAGTATTGAAATATACTTCGTAAAATAGGGGTCTCACCAGGAGAAAAGGCTTACTTGATAGCTTTATTATTTATTCTTTTTGAAATATTATTGCCTTAAATCTGCTATTTCATCTGGACAGAATAATTTAGAGCCCATTTAGCCAGCACGCTAAAGAGGTGTGCCAGTCAATTTCTCAATGATACATAACTTGAAATGTTGCTGTTATACCTTAAGGCTCCTGACAGAAGTGAAAGGAAGGTCAGGCTCATTTCAGAAGTGTCACTTCCAGTCAAAAATCACATTTTGGGCTAGATTCTGGGCTGACAAGAACAATCAGAGATGGGGAACTCAAAAGGAGCATGAAGCCAAGGAGTCAGCCTGTTTCTTCTTTGTGGAGAAAGGAAAATAAATGAAATAGTTCCACATATGTATATAATGGGCTACATAAAAAGAAATAAAGTAAGTATTAATGACAGCTCCCTGGCTTTTTTTTGCTGAAATTGGACCATACTAGTTATTTTCCCTAAATGCTTTTTGTTCTAATCCTTGTTTCTTGTTGGCAGCTGTTACCAGCTGTTACCTACAGCACTGACAAAATTTTCCAAAGTGGAACAAGTAATTTCCTTTGAGCAGCCTGAAACAGAAATAAGTAGCTATGAAAAACTAAATCTACATAGATATGGAGAACTACCTGCTACCAACACAGGTACTTTGGAAAAGTTAAAAATCTGCAGCCATTCTCATTGCTATTTAGCATGTGTACTGCTACAATAATGTCTCTGTAATATAATTGTCAGCATTCCTCTTATTTTAAGTTGTTAATGGGAAAACGAGATAAATACACTTTGAAAGTCAATCCAACTAAAATAAAAACCTGCAGCCCTTCAAATAACTTGAGGAAACTATCAAGACTGTACTTTCCAATCTTTGCTTAGTAACAACTTTAGATATAACAACACATTAATGTTTTTTAAAATTCACTCATCTTGCTTGCTTTAGTCCTACAGAGTTTTATCTCAACAGGTAGAGGGAAAGTACAAGATCAACTGTAAAGTGAAGTACAGAAATACAAGCCTGATGTCTGTCTGCATGAAAGCTCCTCTACACAAATGTGACTGGGCGAAGTACAGTGTAAATTATATGAAGATTACATCTGAATGTTATGCCATGAATTGCATCCATTAATAGACTGAGCTGTTTACAGCATTGATGGCATTCACAATGCATTCATGACTACAGTTTCCGGTTGCCATCATGTCATGTGCAACTTTTTCAAGCAAACATATTTCCTTGTGTTACTCTGAAGCCATATGTTGCTTTAGGCTCTCAGCTAATTAACGAAGGCAATGGTTTTGTATATTATGCATCATGCACTTTATTTCTAATATGATGCATTAATTATATTTTAAATTATGAGTACTTCAATTACTAGAAACACAGCTGCAAGTAAGCTTCATTACCTGATCTTGTGATTTCTTTTTCTTCTTCTTCTTCCCCCAGCACCCTGAACTCTCTGCATCTTTTCCATTGGCATCACCACAGAGTAATCCATCAAGTTCATCCGTTCCCATCTGCTGTCCCTGAGATGTTTCTGCAGCTAGCCTGTATGAGAGGTTCCTCAAAATGCACACACAGTTTTCAACGGTCTAAAGAGTGTGACAAAAAAGGAAAATAAAAAAATACAGAAAAAAACCCAAGAAAAATGTTAAAATCCTTCCATTGCTTACTCTGTATACAAAGCAGAAGAAATGTCCTTGATCTTTGCACAAGGGCGTTTGGTTGGTGGTTGTTTTGTTTTTTCCTAAAACCAGAAATAACCCCTTATTGGCATAAATTCTATATAAATTGCCAGAAAAATGGATCCGAGTTCCATTTCACTAATACCTGTAGCATGAAAAGATGATGTTTCCTGAGTCCCAAAAGCAAGACTAGAAAATCTCAGAATCTTGTTGCCTTTGCTGCTTCTAGCCAGGCTGCAGATACCTTGTGGGCAGCCTTTCCCTTTCCTCCACTTGTCTCCCTAATAGGTTGTGACTTCTGTGGAAGATGCTGGCAGGAATCCAGAAATAGAGTGAGAGGCAGTGGAAGAAAATTCAACATTTTTTATCTAAGAAGTTCTGTTTAGACTTGGGTTAAGTCTAATCATTGAATTTGTTCAATCTGCTTTGACTATCCCTAATAAGGAGGATATGAGCTTAAATTTCTGGAGGCATAGAAAGTATGGTTTAAAAAGCCACTATGTATCTATCTATCTATATTTATTTCAACTGCTCCTAATGCTCCACGGAGATAATAAGTGATAGTCACTACATCTCAGCTCTGCTGCTCCATTAACCCAGAATGGACTAACTGTGAGGCTCCTGGCTCTTCTATTCTGCTGCATTCACCAGTGAGGCAAACAGATGGGGATTGATTTACTTTCATATACTGTATGAGCTTATGCCAGGTATGCATTTGGCACATGGCTTTTGTGATGACATTAAGTTCCAGAGATGATACTGAACTCAGACTCATCTAGACATTACACTCTCACATTAGACTTGTACTAATTTGAAATCTCCAGGCAAATACATAAATACATGTGGAAATATATACATGTGTAGAAAGTGTTTTTAATGCTCCTTTCATACCCAAAAGTTCTGCAGACTTCATAGTGACAATATTATTTTAGGTTTGCTGCATCTTTTACCTTCCTTCAACATTTCTATATGTGAATTTTATTCACTCCTGCTAATATTTACCTCTGCACAGCCACAGCATGCTGAAGCTTTGTGTTTGTTGATTAGGGTTCTATATTTTAACTCCATTTTTTACGATAATGGTTTTCATATTTAAAATTCTCATTATGGGAAAAATAAACCCACTCAGTCCACTGCAAGGACAATGTTACCTCAAACTGGAAATATAAGGAAATGTCCAAGGCTTAAGTGCAACAGACACCTTCTTCACTAAGGTGAACTCTAAAAGCCATGAAAGTTGGTTCTAATCATGCACTGGACACACTTCGCTCCTTCTTGAAGCTTTGAAGGGTCCTTGTATTCCTCATTCCTACAGGTATTTTTCAGTTTCATCATGAGAGGATTAAATATAACTTTAGTAGTCTTTATATTTTACTAGATCACATTAAAAATATGAACACTAACTTCATGCGGTAACCATGTCCAAGTCACTAATTTTTTAACTCTTTCACTTGAATTAGCTTTTTATTATTACACATTTATAAGAAACACTGCTGTTAAGATGCTTGCAATGCAGCTAAAATTTATGCACTCTTAACTTCACCAACATGAGGAACGTCTTTCAGCTTCCCATGCACCTGGAAGTGTCTCATTCTCTCTCACAGCCTGCAAGAGCAGGGACCCATTTTATAAGTTGTTAGTCTTTAACAGCACTACAAAATTACCTAATAAGTCAACTGTGGCATTTGGAGAACAACACTTAATAAATTTAAAGTTCAATTTTTTGTTATAATAGTACCATTTTTGAAACTAGATTAAAAAGTTAGAGACAGTTATTTAAAAGTATTTATTTTCATTGAAATTATATTCTGCTTTGGGATAAATATGCCAGGTAAGAGGCTACACTATGGTGTTTCGCATTTAGCTCTAAAACTACTCTATGTCATGCAGCTAAAAACCTGTTAGACAGGAGGTTAAAACTACAAAGGCAGGGGGAATATTTTTTCTCTATGCAATTTTTCCTCTGTATATGAGTTAGCCTGCAGTTTTTTCAAGTCATACCAGCCACAAATGAGAGTATAAACAGAACAGTCTGTATTAACAATAAGAGGCAAAACAGGGAGCTTATTGTGCTCTTTATTTAGCCTTTTTTAACAGTTAAACAATCTTGAAATCAGTTGGGTCACCTACAAAGAAACTGTTGAAAAAGCAGCAGCTGAGCTGTGAGACCTGGCATAAACTGACTTCCTCATGGTCCATCCACCTCCCTCTCTGCTCCAGTGAAAATCCTCTAACTTCTCCTTTCTGTGAGGCAAGCTGAATCAGGGAGCTTTGAAGCAGTCCCCAGGTTTAGCTGAGTCTAATAAAGCTGAAAATGCCCTACCATTTCAGGGCTGTGCTACAGGAGGTGACTGGCTGCAGATCTGCTCTGAATCCAGCTGCAAGCACAGGATCCCACCATCACTCTGTTAAACTTTTATTAATGGAAAACTGATCGTAGACTAAAGTGTTGTGAGTTTTTTTGTTTTGGTTGTGTATGTTTTTTTTCCTTAAAAAAAAAAAATAAAAGTGCTGGTAGCCCAGCATCATATGCTACAAACCTTTCATAATTCCCCTCTCCCTCCCCTGAATTTACTGGCAAATTTCATATATTTGAAAATGGAACAAGGTTGCCCTACAGCAGCAATAATTGATTCATCACCATGAAGCAACTTATCACCTGAAAGCAACAGGTGTTTGAAACTGGTCTTTATCTCTGGAATACTTCAATGTATTACATATCTTCAGTTTGGAAATGCTTGGTTTCTTTTTAGTTAGACAGTGCCTTTCACTTTTGGAGAAGCCTGTTTATTTATATCTTACTACTTCAGAGAAGTAAAGCTGACATAAAAATACATCTTAAGACAGTTGTTATTGAAAGCATTCATTGATCCTCTTTCAAGAAGAAATAATGTTGGCAGTACTGCAAACCAGCCTATTAATTGACCACTGTTTTTTTGTTTGTTTATCTTGTAAGCCTACCATACTGTTACTGATTCTGTCTCATACTAGGTATTGAAAATCAATCTAAATATAAACCTGGCAGAGTCCTGTAAGAAAGTTTACACACTGTCTGACATATCTGCTCCTCTTATGCCAACACTGTATATTTTCCTTTAATAACTCAAGTGAGGGGATGACACACTTACCAGTGCACACTACACAGGCAGACACAAACTCAATGCTTAGCACACTAAACCACAGCTCAACAGAAGAGAAAGAAAAAAAAGAGGCTAAATTATGCTTTGCCAAGGCACCCCTCACAATTCTTTAAAAAACAAACAAACCCGTGACTTCAGAGTCCTGATGTACCCTGAATGCCTGGATTTCTTGCTCCTGAAAAGACAAAGATGACAAACCTTACTATCAATTTCACTGCTCCCCAGAGCAGACTGGATCACGTACAGCAATGCGTCCGTCAGGCCATCACACTCCCTCATCCTTCTGCGGGCCTCCTCTCCGGCAGAGCTGACATTCCTGCAAGGCAACAGCAAGGGTCACCACCTCCCCTCCTGAAATGCTCTCACAATTAACAGACTGATAAAACCACTTATTGGTATTTTTTTTCTCTTTTCTTCAGTTCAGAGCCGAGACCAATGACAGCTGTGAATGAGTTCAGGAAATGTAACACAAGAGGGGAACAAATGGAAGTCATGAGGCTCCCCACAAGAAGGGGCTGAGAGACCAAGCAGCCAAACAACATATGCCTATCTGAGCTGGGAGACCCATGACCTACTAAAACTTGACAAAGGGCTGACAATTTTTCTTTCTTCTTTTTTTTTTTTCCCCTTCTTTAGTTGGTTTTGTATTTGTGAGAAAGCATTTTTCAAATGTGCACAGGTACATAGAAATTAGGCATTGAAAAATGTAGAGGTTTTGCCAATAAAATCTCTCTCCTAGAACTTGAAGAGCCCAGTAGTTAGGGCTCTTAACGTGAGAGAAATATATTATCAAAGCATAACATAAAACACCTGGTGTTGCTTGCTTCTCATTTTACATGACTGTTTCCTTTTCTGTCATTTTGAGAGAACATTAATGCCTCAATCTTCTCTTTACGTAGTTGCTCACAAGTTATTTTACATTGCAAAATTTAAAAACTCAGCTTATTATAGTAATTGTGCTCCTCAAACAGGGCCAGAGGGCCTTGCAAACACATTTATAGAAAGACAATTAGAACAAAATTTACTGGATTACATAATGTGCCATAAAGCTTAAAATACTGATATATAAAGAAACAGCTATGTACCAACAAGTACATACAAATAGAGTTTATACTTGCTAACATCAAGCCTCCCTGAGCAAATTGCTTTATAATTTGCATAGCAGTTTTGATTTGGAAATGGGTGAATTAGCAACCTTAGGAACAGGGTAAGACTCTTCTCATAGTCTCCTTTGGTAGGGGAAGACAACCTTCTTCTGAGATACTTCATATGTAGCTCTTCTCTCCACACTACTAAAGTCTATACAAAAGAAGAATGGAAAATAGCACACCAGCCCTAAGTATTTAATGCCAATGTATGGAAACAGAAGGGAGGGCACTGGCCCTCTGCTTTGGGAAGAAAGCAACGCACTTTCTTTCTCTTATGCTGTTTCCAATTGTTTTTGCATTAAAGATGGAAAAAGGATGAGATTCTTGGAAAGGAAGATTAATTTTATACGGAGGAAGGTGAGAGGACTTAAGGACAGATTTCAATTCTTTCTTTGCTCTACCTATTTCATCCTGTTCTGCCTCCCTATCATCTAAAAAAATAGCGTTTCCCCAAAGCACCAGATTTTTCCTAATCAAATCATCTTACGGCAATCTCTGAGCCTCTCCTATGCAGGTTCCTAATTGATCCTGCTCCCTAAACACATGTGATTTCCCATCTATACTTGCATCTCCACACAGTCCTAATTAGTTTTGCTCTCCTGTGTACAAGCTGCCCCAATTAATTCAATACTCTTCCCTTCACCACTGCAGACAGCCTGACAAAAAACCATCCAGCCTGGAAACGCTACAATGACCTCCCTAGCGCACTAATTCATGCTCTCTCCATTCTCCTTGAGACTCCCCAGTTTGCCCAACACTACACACCAGGAGTGTGCCCTTCACAATGGCTTGCAAGTTTTGTGTTGTCTTGTTCGTCAGATCCCCGAACAGTCTTCCTCCAGTTCATGGGAAAAGCCTCTTTTGTCATCTGGGAATTGGGGTATGGAGAGAATCAATTGGAAAAAAGTCTTCCATTGGTTCTCCCTTTGAAGTAATGGAAACTTTTTTACTTCCCTTTGGTTGACAGAAATCAGAAGGCAAAAGTATAGAGGGTGGTTTTCCCAAAACAGTGCCCGTGCCCTGTACTTGCAGGGCCAGAGACTGTGCCTAAAGTGTACCGTGAGTAGACTGGCCCCTTATCAAAAGCAATAGCTCCACCTGAAATACCTAAACGGCAGGACACAGAATCATGGATCTGAAAAGTGCACTGGAAATGGACAGTGAGGGCATGGTGGACTAGTGGGCTTCTCCCCCCAGCCCCTGGAAGATAGAGAAAGAGAGTTGTATCAAGCCCTAAAACAGTAACTGCACAAATTACAATTGGAAGATGCTGAGCAAGTGTTCTCAGCACACCACATTTCCTTGCACTACTTTGAAAAACAAACAACAACAACAAAACAGCAAGTGTTCTCAGCACACCACATTTCCTTGTACTACTTTGAAAAACAAACAAACAACAACAACAAAAAAAGCAAGCAAGCTTAAATATTCCTGAATCCTTTTAAACAAGTAAATAAAACAGTCTGAACTAACATAATGTATTCAGATTTCTTCAATTCTCTGCATTCATATATACTGAGTGCAAGCTTTCAAAACATACAGTCTTAGACATTGGTAGAAACAGAAAAAACATTCTCCCTGATCTTTCATTGAGGTGATTTCTCCCCTCCAGCATGGCCAAATGCACATCACCTTGACCCTCCAGAACCTGCAGAAACTAGCAGTCTCTTAGCTCCTCTCCAAGCTCACCAGAAACTCCTGCTCACCAAGACAGCAATGTCGACAACCTAAGAGTCCCTGAGCTGTCAGCTGTCTGCCTCACTCATTTCCAGGCAAACAAAGAATATGAGGCCTTTATACAAAGTTATAGAGACACACTAGGGGCACATCTTGCACAGACAATGTATTTCTTTGCTCTGTGTGAAGGAGCTATCAAATTCAGTCCTTCTGTTCATCATCCTTCCCCATTATGCTTCAGTTGCTTCTGTAATCAAGAGGTGGATATCCTGAATTCCCATGACTGTTTTTTTTCTTTTCTGTGTCTCTGTCTAGCTCCTGCACTGACTCATAGCTACTACAGCCTTCCCCAGATGTGGTGTATTTATTTACATGCAAAGAGCTTAAAAACCAAGACAAAGCCAAAGCCTGTATTACATTTTGACAGAAATAATAACTTGATTAATTAAAAAGAAAAACATCCCATTATCTAACTATTCCCATTTCACCTCTATTGAAGGAATAATTGTTAACTGGTATCTTTCACAGAAGGTCTCTAATATCAACATGTTCAGGCTATGTAGTTCTGTGAAAGAGAAGCAAGTTCCAGATTACTTGAGGGGCCAAAGAAACACACTATCATCCTAATTCTCCTATTTCCCATTCTTAACTCAAATGTGCTGCAGCCATCAGTGTGTCAGGGAGTAAGACATGACATTTGTCAATTTATAGTTCACTAATAAACTAAGGCATTAGCAGTATATTCAGTTGGTAAAATGTACCACTAACTAAGCACACATTTCTCCAGTGTTGGTTTCCAAACAGGTGAAATTACATTTTCTGGATTTTGAAAAACATGTAGAAATACAAAGCACAGGTTTTTGGAAAAAAAACCAAACACAGCAAGTTTCTCCATTGTAAAGGTAGCCCTGCAAAGCCTTAATTGCATGTTAAATTTTGATAATTTTTGGAAAGTCTATGCACAGGGTGTATGTGAGGTGTAGGCTGACACTTTGAGTCCAACATGACAAGCGGTTTTAGAATTCCACAAGCCACTAAAATTAATTTCAAATGGATTGCAGTCACACAGGAATACCAAGAATAGGGAGTGCTGAAGAATAACTCCCAGTTTAGTCAGAAGGTCCCACTTAGACCTCCAACAAACAGCTAGCCTTCTTCTTAGGAGAGGAACATCAAAAACAGATAGACTTAGACCTCCAACAAACAGCTAGCCTTCTTCTCAGGAGAGGAACATCAAAAACAGATAGAACAAGAGCTCAGACCCATGGATCATCAAAGTGCCATTAAAAAAAAAAAAAGAAAAAAAAAAGAAAAAAAAAAAGGCAGACTGATTTTGCTAATAATATAGGAATGGAAAGAAAACTACAATAATCCAGTTTCAGTTTTAGGGGAAGATGTGTTACAGCAGGCATCACCCTCCAAACATAATTAAGGGATATCCGTTCTCTACTGATACAAAGTGTGTGGTGTAAAAAAATGCACTGTGCAACACATTCCTGATTTCTGTCAAATTTGGCACTTCACTTATTCAATATAATTTAATACAATTGGTGGGATTTAAGGTGGGGAAAGATGCATTATAGCAAGTAATTTCTTTCTTCTTAGAGGAATTTTTCATATGCTCATACAAACTATGGAAAGCTTTAAGCAATATCCTTATGACTACAGGGTAGTTAGGTCCACCTGCCTTATCCAGGGGAGGGACACAGGAGTTCTTTGGAAGATGATCAAGAAAGCAAGAGTGCTGAAACACAGACCCTCTGGATATGGGAAGATTTAGCAAGCTGTTGACATTACTCCCAAGCAGCAGATCTACAAATCTCAAAGACAGAATTAAAGTATCTACAGCAGCACCTGCCCACCTTGAGCATGCTTGGGTCACAGCAAATACTTTCCTGTACCAGCTACAGATCTGCAGACTGAAGATTTCTCTACAGTTGTGCAGGATAATTGTTGAGAATCAATTCTCCCTATTAGGAAAGATGAAATCAAGGTGTATCCTCCTTAAGGCCTGGATATGGAGTATTTTTGCTTTGGACTGACATGTTATAAGAAAGGAGAGACATCAGGAAGAGTATCTTAAACCAGGTGCAACTCAGGAGTTATCTTTGGTACAAAACCTCAAATGTGTCCAAAATATAGCTTTATTCCAAAAAGTTATATGTAAGAGGGACTAACATAACAGCCTCAATCTTTTTCATCCTTCTACTTGCTATAATAGCCATCAGAAATCGATGTTTGGCAGAAAAGGGGAAAAGTTGACACAAACTGAGAATTCAAAAAACTCAATTAATGTTGCAGGAACCATGTTTATGTTTCCCTGAGGATAATCAGTGGGGGAAAAGCCTTCAGGAGAATACTGAGCAGCAGAATCACAACTGATGCACTAAACAGTCATCTTTAGAACACATATGTTCATTAAAAAAAATTAAAAAACTAAAAATCCCTGATACTGGCCTCCTCTACACGTGCTCTGTGATATGCTGCCTGT